TGGGCGCCATTTTACGTAGATACGCCACTGGAGCTATGCTCACTACTGCTATTGTGACAGCGATAACAACCTTGGGGCCATGGGAAACAGCAATTAGTGCCCACAGTACTACCACAAGGATTTGGAAACCAAAGTAGAAAAACTGTACAGGTTGCAAGCGGCTGTGAATTCGTGTCTTTCGATGGCTTTTTGCGATTTCGGGCTGCATACCACCTTGTTCGAATCGACTTATAATAAAAAGGCAGCGCGGAAGAGACTCGTGTAAGATTTCTCTCTCATTTTTATTCTGTGTTTCTGCCTTTGGTAAATAAAATAAAAAATAATATTAATAACCTTTTGACAGTTTTTATATGTGGTGAGGGGGAATGTAGAGATCTAAAATAGACAGAGGATGTTTCGGAAGAGGCTGCACTATAAAGACCGTGTTGTTTCGCCTGTATTCGGTTTCGTTCTATGGTGTTCATAAAGACTCTTTACAATTTCAATTTTGTTATGTTCTTAATATAGCCTAACCAGGTTTGTTGTTTTCTAATCAGTAACTATTCAAGTATTTTCACTTCATTTAATACATCTGTGAGGGTCAAACAATATTTGGTATCGATAAAATCCCTTTGCAATTTTAAAAATTGATAACACTTTATGGACAGCCTATATATTCATAGTTTACACAATTCATATGCACAGGATTGCTCGACCCTCCGGAATGTTTCATTAGAGTGGAAAACCAACGGACTCAAACAGCAAGACATAATTTAATTAGGGTTTTACACGCGCTTGGATATTGAAAATTATTCGCTTAATTTACTGCGGATGTCGGATCAATAAATACACACGTAACACAGTACAAATGATTCGTAAATTTAAATTAAATTTTCAATGTATGTCTGAGGAAGTCTGACCTTGGTCAGACGAAAGGTTGCAAAAATATATTTGTGTTATTCCGCACAAATCCTTTTGAAACTTTTACGATAGTTATCTTCGGTCTTGCTAGAGCATCCTTGCATTATACGGATCCGCGAGCGCAGAAGCATAGAAGAAGGATAAGTAGTTAGTCAATCAAAAATCGCGCAAAAGTTTTTGAGTTGACGCGACAACCTGAAATTTCGAATTGCAAAGTTAGACCACGACAGATAGAGGGTCCGGACAACGTAGGCTTTCAACAGTCTTGCGGGTCTGAAAAACGTTTCAAGCTGCGATAATTTTTCTGTGTACGATACAGAAAAATGCTTTTTTATTTTTACAACAAAAAAAGGGGAGGACCCCTCTGGTTACGCCCCTAACCCTGCATATCACCGATTGCTTGTCTAGGGAATTGTTCGGAGTGTAGAGTTGTGGAAATGTTTTAGAAAAAATTGGACGGACGGTATAAACGCGAAAGAGTTACTAGTGTTACTGTGAAATGCCACTGTAATTTTCATAGTTTTCAGCAGTGTGTCTCAAATAGTAACATGTCTCGAGGATTAAGCGTAAGGCGATATTGTTGAATACAGGAATAGGACTTATGCATGTAGGCTGTCACTTGTTACCAATGTTCCCTCTAATTTTTTGTAGTATGTGTGCGCAGAAATTTTAGTGTGTGCGCACTTTTTTGGAAATGACTGATATTTGTGCAAAAACCAATGAAGAAATTTCGGCGTTCTAACCGGGTAATAAGTGGGTCAACAACTCACTTTCTCAACCTGCCAACCGAGCACATTGTTACATTACATCGAAATACGTTTGTGCGCAGTAAATCTGTTCGTGTGCGCACCCTCTGAAAGCTGTGTGCGCGCGCACACGCGCACACCTTAGAGGGAACACTGCTTGTTACTATTTCGAGTTTTTGAGGGCAGTGCAGATGTTTGAAATTGCAAAGAGATATTTTGTATTTTTAAGAGTTTGACATTCTTTTATGAGTTTCTATATCGAGTACGTCTATATACAATGGGTTCTCAAACTTCAAATGTCGTTTACCCCGCGATCAATTACCAGTAAAATTTATCCCCTCAATTTTGTTTGCTGCCCATGCCAGTACACAGGGAATAATAATAATAAAAAATACGAGAAATCTATTCGCAGAGAGAGTGCAATAATATTTATCATGCAACCGAGGACGTTACAATCCCAACAATGTTGCAATCTGCTACATTATGTATTATGATTCGGTTTCTGCGAGACTAACTACTTATCCTTCTTCTATGCTTTTGTGCCGGCGGATCCGTATGCATATATTGCAAGGATACTGTAGCAAGAGTAAAGATAACTATCCTAAGTAATTCAAGATTCTTGTTTCACACTAACACAAATATATCTATGTAAAGTTTCGTCTGACCAAGGTCAAACTTCTTCAGACATACATAGTTCGAACAAAACGCTACAGAAGTATATTTGAGTTAGGACTGCTATAATATCATGTGCTTTCGTCTTCGAAATTTACCGACTGTGGAGAAATTTTGTCGTTATCGGAGAGAGGGCTTTGTAATATTACATTGTACATCTTTAGTTCTTATTATTGCTTCCATATCTTCTATTATTGCTATGATACCTATTCATGCTCGCATTTAAAAAAAATACTTAACTGTACAGAAGCGGTAGTGATACTTACGCATAACACTAGCGAAAAATCCATCAAAGATTTAACAAATACAGTACTATGCGCAGTGAGTGAGGAATGAAGTTAGGCACAATTGAGTTAATCGTGTTTTTAGAAGACTTGGGTCTTACGATTTGGTTTTGCTGACTGTGCGAAGTCATGAGATTTATTTTGACTTTTCACTGCTAATTTCGTTGGCTTAATATGCTTGTACGCTGGTATAGTTTTGCATGAGATGAAGGGTTAATGTATGTCGTGGCAAAGTTTATTGTACTCGGATCGTTTGGGTATTATGGTGTTTTTCTTCTTCATTAACTATTCTTCTTTCTATTACCTTATAAAGTAATCGTTTTTCTCATTAACTACAGGGCCAATTGCTTCGAAATTTTCAGTGGTTAAATATTGCATTTTTCGCTCGTACTGTTTTTTTTTTTTCAAAAATCCAGGCGGTTCCGTTAGTATTGAAGTTTGCCATGCCGGTAGCATATGGTACTATGACAGATTGCATACTCATATTACTTGTTTTGAACTTCGTGTCTATATATTTGATCAGCACTCTTTTATTGCTAATCCAATTCATCGTTTGCACGATGACGTAATCAAATCCGGTAATATTATACAAACATTCGCCTACATCGGGTAAAAATTTTATCTCGGCCGTAAAATCAGAATTTTAGTCCGGCGTAATTGTCAGTTAATTTGAGGCTCGCTCCAAAAACTTGGGCAGTCCGCATGTTCAGAGTCCTTTTCTTGACGAAAGTCGTGCGAAATATCGTTTCACAAAACATCAAACTTAGCCCATTCACACAAGCTCAAAGAAAGCTAACCCATTAATATTTTGCGAGGTGTTTCGAGGGTTAACTGATTTTATTGTTATATTCATTCAGAGTACGGTTCTGAGCGAAATTCGTGTAGTATACCGTTTCACAAAATATCAAATTTAACCAATTATCTGAAACTGTCATAACGCCATATAAAGTGTTATTGTTATGCTAGATAACTGGTAACCAAATTCATTATTTTTGACGTTCCAGACTGTTGAGGAAATATTTGAACAATTTATTGCCTTGTTTACGCTAATTATGCTTCGTCTGGCGTATCCGTTGAACTGAATCGACCCGAATTGCAATATTTGTCAGGAATACTACAGCATCTGGGATTCTATGTTGTTGCGTCATACAAGTTTTTTTGTTCAATATATTTGTATTTTTATACGAGCTAAATTTACTCACTGATTGTTAGTTATAATTTTTAATTAAAAAAAGATTGATTAGAATTATTAATTAGAAAAATATATATTTATATAGAAAAGATAATGGGTCGGCGGTGTGGCACATCGTGCTAAGCGTTACGAATACGCTCTCCATCGCATCTCTGATTACCAAGTGTGGGTTCGCAGGCCGTAGTGTGGTTCAGGAATCTGCTGTTCGGTTCGGGCTTCCTTCACCATAAATTACATGTTTTCGAAAACAAATAGAATCTCTATTAAAGTTTGTATTAAAAATGAATATGTTGAAGCGACATAACATTGCTCAAAAACAGGGTGAATTCAAGAAAACAGAGCCCAGGTTATTTAGGAATTACTAAGGAGAAGTTTTAGGCAAATATTTGCCATTATGGTGTTGGTATTTTTCTTGTTATTCTGAAACAATCGCTTATCTCTTTAACTATTGGACCAACTGCTTTGAAATTTTCAGTTGCTAAAGATTGTATTTTCCAGTAGAAGGGTATTACTTTTATTTATTTCAAAAACTTCAGCGGTCTCTTCCTGCGTGCGATGACGTCATTAAAATTACAAGAGAGCTGTGCTCAAATATATGGACACGTTAACCCGAGCGAAGCAGTATTTACCTTTGACCCCACCGGTACCCACAAATAATTCCGAGTTTCGCGTAGAAATAATTTACAGAATCAAACCGGACAGCCAGTGTTCCCATGGATAAAATAATACAGCAAAATTTCAGACGAAATATCAGATTTCGTGCGAAATTTAGAAATAAATAAAAGTAATAGCCTTCTGGCAAAAAAATCAATCTTTACTCACTGAAAATTTCAAAGCAATTGGTCCAGTAGTCAAAGAGAAAAGCGAATTTTTTAAAAATGATGGAGACAAATAATAATAACAATAACAACAAAATTTTGAAACGATCGTTATGTCCACTACGTGTCCAATGAACTGGCACTTTATGTCGGTTCTACGTTCTACGGTACCGGTAGTTTACTACTGTGACAGACTGCATACCCGTACTACTTCATTTTGGTATTCGTGTCCAAATATTTAAGCATTGCTCTGTTACCATATATCCTCGCATGTAGGGTTTAAAAATAAAAAAAATTTACAAGGTTATGGGGTCGTCGTATTCAAGAGGTCTGCTTATATCCGAGAATATTCATATTTTATATTACATTTCATATTATTTACATTATCAGCTTGTATTAGATTATATCATGAATATATATTTGTGAATAAATTTACAATAACTGTTGCCTCAGCCAACTTTTGGATGGAAATAAGAAACATCGACGATATGAAAAATCCCGAAACAGGTATTTATTTGATAATTACAACTCTTTTCTCTCCGAAAAAGGCTCTTTACAAGCAGTAATTCTAAAATGCTACTATGGTTTGAGGGGGAATTGCATCTTTCTCGTTCAGCATTGCATATTCAATTTAAAACACTCTGGTTGCATTATCACAATGATCACAATCTAAAAGCTGACTAAAAATTACCGCTTTGTGTTTTCCCAATTATATTCATGTATTATCACAACGTTCGCGAGTTTAGAGACCCTTCTGAGAATATCTCATCGTGTTTTTTTTTAACACATATTCATGCATTACGCTTGCCTTGAATTTCCAAGCGTCTTATTATCTTATCTCATATTTTTTTCAGATTACGAAGAGGTGGAGATCAAAGAGACCGAAGGAGAGAAGAAATCACCCCCCAATTTAATGCGCAGAAAAACGTGGCCGAGGCTATTGCTCTGCATAAGCGATATTATTTACTGGAACGACGGGGAGGCTTCGAAAATCGGGGAAGGATTTTTCTCAGATGTTTACAAGGTAAGGCGGGGATTCCCCACCCCATTGCACAGCAGTAAATTCATACTTTTCATATTTTTCCCCATGTGAGGGGGGAGCCGATAAGACGGTATAACCATATGGCGAACCATGAGATTTGAATGCTGTTAAAGCCCACGATCGCGTGATCGAATGGAAATCATAATTGAATTTGGAAAAAGAAAGTGGGTGAGTCAAGAACCCTCTATGGCGTAATAAGTGGTTTTGGAATGTATTTGTGATTCAACAAAGGAATTCAATTGTTACGTGTATATTGAATTTGAAATTTTCTCGCGGTCTTCAACATGTAATTATCTCCTTGCCGGGCGCTTTCAAGAAAACAATTAAAAATGCGATTGAAATTACTTTATTTTTCGGTAAATATACAATTTTAGGCTCACCAGAAATGTGTGCACCAATATGGATGTAACTAATTTTGTTCGCCTACTTTACATCAAGTTGTGTAAATGGACTGAAATCTATGTGCATTAGGTATATTTACTTGGCTAACACAGACAGTCCCCGAACTCGTAAAAGAACTAAAATAAGGATAATCGGAATAGAATTATTGCCTAACCCTGACCTGGTGCACATACTACGGGAGTACCTATTTTGTGCTATTTTGCTTGGTAATCCAGTAAACAGCAAAAGTCTCGTGAATTCAAGTAATCCCACCCGCATGTCCAGCCGGCTACTTAGATATAGCAATCTTTTTGTTGGAGCGGAACCACATTGAAAAACTTCAGAGGCGCAAAGTGCATTAGTTTACTGGCTTCTATTGACTAAATTGTTGTATAAACCAGGGCTACTCAACTATTTTTACCGAAAATCCGCATACAAAACTTCAAAATTATTTCGGTCCGGTCTTTCCAGAATTTATATATCGGCATCCTTAAAAACGCACACTCCCTTGACCGGCTTATAATTATTAGCTAATCAAGATTATTATGGTGCTATAGTTCTTTTCATATATATTCAAAACTACAAGAGTCATTTTATAAAAGGAAACTTTAAAAATGGGGCTAATGATCTAAAATAAAGAACTAGGTGCGGTCCGAATCAAATACTCGAAAGGTTAAACAAACGTAATACTGGCAGAACAAAATGACCTTTATGAGCGAAGACGAAATGTTGAAAGACGAAATTGTCGAAACAGGTGATATATCGGAAAAGGTTAAGAACCACTGCAATACTACAAAGGCACAGAAAGGAATAGTTTGGTACACGCTACTCTAAGCCAGTGTTCCTCAACTTATGAGTCGCGACCCAAAATTTTATATTTGATATTGAAGTGTTACCCTGATAGTGATTCAGTGGCGTAGCATCCACCCCCGCAACCCCCGCGGTCGCGGGAGGGCCCACAACGAAAACGGGCCCAAGCGGTTAGAATTTAGAAATTTAAGCCGCAAAACCAAAAGCTGCAGTGCAAAACCAGTAATGCACATCTTACAACGTTGATGTTAGTTCTGCTCAAATCGTTTTGTTACGTAACAATGCCAGGGAGTCGTCGATTTTCGGCGTCTCGTGGTTTGATGGCAGCGGCAAAATTACGGAGGCTGTCAGAATGATGTCGAAAGCAAAACCTCTCAGTGGCGCACAGAAACGCAGAAAAAGGGCAGAAGAGGAAGCACGTATGAAAAAAAATTAAAGTAACCAAGATAAACGGCAAATTTTAGGTTACCATTGCCTTTTTATAGCGACATGTTATGCTTTTTGAAAAAAATAAAAAAATAGCGTTGTTTTAGCTTATGTCCGAGAAATATTTTTGAGGGGGGGGGGCACGAGAGTCTTTCTACGCCACTGTAGTGATTGCATGTGTGGGTCATCGTAAAACCTTGGCAGCATTTATTTTGCTTAAGTAAAGCCACGTGTCGATTTCAAAAACTCGCCCATGGCAGCAAACACGCGCAGTTTTCTCGCTTTAAAGTAATTTCTGGGGAATTAAATGTTATATAAAGTTGATTGTTTTATTCATTTAATTTTGAACCTAAAAGTACTACACGTTTAGTTAGTATTTGATCATATCCTTCGGTCGGGAGATTTTTACAAAATCTTCTTTTTTTTTAAGTTTGGGTCGCTTGAAAAAGATGCTCTAGACAAGCGTATATTCTAAAAAATTCTAAAAAATAAAGCGTGTTTATTTTTAATTTCGATTACCGTGAGTGCGTCACTCGCTATGCCGTGGGCGCCATTATTTTGTTTGTTCGGTAATAATTGACGTTGACCGAGTCAAAACATTCTGAGCAAAATGAAAACAATACAGCGCTAAAATGAACTTGCTTTTAGATGGGGTTGTCGCGTAAGTGCGTTACTGTGATCACACTTTTGATAACTTAATGTGAAAAACTATGAATTAAAATATATAATAATAAGAAGCGCAATGCAACAATCGGAGTCATTATGACGTTATTTTCATCGATATTTTTGATGAAAATTTGATACGTAAAAACCGTAGTCGTAGACTCGTAGTGTCAGAGGACTAGATGAAATACTTCAGCGGGCCCACGTAATTTGCCCAACCTAGGCTATCGGCTATAATCTCAAGTAATCTATCATAACCATTTATTCAATTGCACTTACTTAATATAATCACAGTAAATGATACACGGCCGTACATAGCTATATGATATATCGCGCTGTTTGAAGTCGTATTATACTTGGCCAACTCTTGAATTAAAACGATCCTTCCTTCAAACCCCCAGGCTATAAAAATTTTGGTTAGTAATCCTGAATTGAAAAAGATTAAGTTTTTGCCTGACCACACCTATTCAGACGAGCGACGACAGTATTGAATTCAAATTTTCAAAAACGTCATAATTGCAAAGTGGCGTCATATTACATTTTAAAAACACGTAGGAAGGGAGAACCTTATTAATTCTTCCCATTTGTATTGAGAAACGTTACGTCATAATGCGATACTTGACGTCATACATTTTTTGAAGATGCAGTAGTGGGAGAGGGGAGAAAACCCCACTATTTCAACTCATTTAGAATTTTCCAAAACCTTACGTCATAATGAAAATGTGATGTCATAAGACATTTTTAGAATCAATGGGAGGGGGAAAACCCCACTAATTCTACTATTTGAAGTTTTCAAAAACATTACGTCATAATTTTTAACGTGACGTCATACTACATTTTGAAAACGCACTGAGAGGGGGAAAACCCCTACTAATTCACCCATCTTTATATTTTAGTTTTGTCATCGGCCGACGGGGCACACTGTAGTAGTGAAAGCCTCCAAGCAACATGACGAATGCGAGACAGATCAGGCCGTCATGCTGAAAGAAATCAAAGTATTAAAGAAGTTGCAGCATGAGAATATAATCAAGTAAGTTAAATATACGATGGACGTTTTGGCTCCGTATAATGCCCTCTACATGCAGCCACTAATACAAAACGATCCGAGTCTTTGATAATAGGACTTGGGTCCGAGGGCGTATCTAGGGTATGGCAGCCATTGCTCGTGCCATGGGCGCTGTTGAACACGAGCGCAAAAAGAGCGAAAAGTTCTAATCGTGAAATGTTGCAATAAAAATAACTTCCAATTGGCAAACTCATATATTCACCCAAATAATAACGTACAATTATCTTAATTCAAAAACAGTCGCCAAAAATTGTCAGCCAGTCGACAGTCAAGGGGGCGTATTTTATAAACTTTGCCATGGGCGCCATTTTACGTAAATACGTCATTGTTCGAATCTTAACTCAAGTTAATAGTTGGTGCCTCCCAAATACAGCCACGTCCCTCGTAGCGTGTATTATTTTCACTTTTGGCAGTTTTTTTTCAATTTTTTTCTTTTTTCCCAGGTACCTCGGCCTTTGTGCGAAAGATGGGAGATTTCATCCGGTGTTAGAGGTTTGTCACATTTATGATTATTTTCACGTTTTAATGTTTTTGACTCCAAAAAAGGCCTTGTATAGGCATACACTGATATCGAAGACAGCTCAATAGTTCTTCGGCCTGAAGGATTGGAGTGGCCAAGCGATTTAACCCTACAAAACTCGAGTTTATACTCAACTGACTGAGCGAATACGGCTTGATTTAATATTTTTCAAAATCTGGGAATTTTTGGAAATTCGAACTTGTTAGGAAAATCACTAGAATCTAAAATGTAGCCAGCCCGGCATGGGGTGAGACGCAAATTTAATTTTGTATAATGACGTAATACGACAATCTCTCGCGCCTTTAGATTTGAACAAAGTCAGATAAAAGTAACCACTGATATGCAACAATATGTTGAAGAATCTCGCTACATACCAACTTTATTGTCGAAATTATCCAAGGAATATAACTGCGCATTTACATCTAACTCGTTTGGGTCATTTGGTGAACGGATTATTGATAGCAAGCCATGAAACGTCTGGTAACACTTTTTAAAATAAATTTTCAGTTTATAAACGGCGGAGCATTGGACGAACTATTATTAGATTACAATATCGCCCTCTCGTGGTCGGAAAAGCTCGGATTTTGTCGGGATGTTGCGAAAGGAATGAAGTACCTTCACACAAACCATGTATTTCATCGGGACTTGAAATCAGCTGTAAGTTTGGTTTTTAAGATTTACACATTCATTCAACGGGAGAGGAAAGCCGCTAAGACGGCTCAATCATATGGTGTCCCACGTCTTCTCGTCCGGTTACCGGTCCATATCGGGTATGAGATTACTTGGCGAGTTATTTGTTTCAGATTCATGAATTTGAGAACAGCTGCGAAGAGTCCCGCAATTCACTCGTGCAAAATTATCCATGAATGCACGCAGGGTAATCAGAGATGATGTGCGTATTCCTAGCGTTTGAAAGGGTTCGACCACGCCAAATAGAATCTGCTTAGTTTTTTTGTATGGGAACATTTTTATATGACACATAAGAACACTTTTATATAATATCCGGACATACTGTTGTTATAAGGCACATTGGAAAGCTTATAAATAATAAGGGAACACTTTCATATGTGACATAGGAACACTTTTAAGTGTAGCCTGGGAACACTTTCATATAATATCCGGACATACTGTTATAAGGCACGGGAACATGTCGCACGGGAACAATTTAGTATGACACACTGAAAAACTTCGATATGTAATAGGGAAACACTCCTATACAAAACATGGGAACACTTTCATGACACCTGGACATACTTTTATATGGTATATATTGGACCTTATATTTAATATGGGAACACTTTTCTATGACAAACGAAACAACTTGTACATCTCCATGTTTGAGCAATGTTCTCTACGTATTCAGAATTGTCTTGTCCGCCACGGAGAGTCGGGATCTCGCACTGTTGTCGTCGCGGACTTCGGCTTAGCTCGTGAGGTCACGGGAGACACAAAAACACCAAGAAAAATGTCAATGGTGGGGACGGCGTTCTGGATGGCACCTGAAATGCTTAACGGGAAATTGTATAACAGTAAGGTATGGTATTTGGATTGGATTTTTATTAATCATATGGTGAACGACGGCCTCTCGTCCGATCACCAGTCTATGTCGGGTATGGGATTAGTTAGTTATTTGTTTTTGGAAGCATGAAATTGATGGTGGAGGAAGCCTCAACCGCGTAAACCACCCTACGGCGGCGAGGAGTCCAGTAATCCTCTCGCACATAACTATCCCCGCATGGGATTCGGACCTGCAAATTCATGCAGAGTCATCAGAGGTGCCGTAGTGAGCGTATTCCTAACGCTTAGCACGATAAGCCACACCGGCGCGCTATTTGGATTATATTTCCATGTGTATCTTGTGAAAGAGAAAAGCCGATAAAATGGCGCGGCGGTGTGGCTCAACGGGCTAAGCGTTAGAAATACGCTCGCCACCACACCTCTAATTACTCTGCGTGGGTTCGCAGGTTCGAATCCCATGCAGGGATGGTTATGTGCGAGAGAATTGCTGGACTCCTCGCCGTCGTTGGGTGGTTCACGTAACCGCTGGTCGGTTACGGCTTCCTCTACCAACGAGTCCATGCTTCCGAAAACAAACAATATAACTAATCCCATAACCGACTTGGAATGGTAACCGGACGAGAGGCCGTGGTTCGCCATATGGATAAGCCGTCTTATCGGCTCCAGCAATTCTCTCACAGATAAATCTCCCCAAAAGGATTCAAATTGCGAATCTGTACTGAGCAGACTCGCAATCATCAGTACTCTTTCTGCGTTTACCTGTGAGCTCGGACTTCGCTTTGAGCAAACTTACATTAAAATGCAATAATGGGCGCTCCGGAATGTGTACCAAGATGACGCACAACCTGAACCTAACCTAGTACACATACTATGTACAGGTTGTGCGACATCTTGGTACTCATACTTCGGGAGCACTCAATAATGTGTATTTCCTACAGGCAGACGTGTTCTCATACGGCATTCTGGCATGTGAGATAATGGCTCGTGTGATTTCGGACCCCGAAGATTTACCTCGGACGTCCAACTTCGGACTGGACGTTGAAAAACTTCGGGAGAAATGTCCGAACTGCCCGAAAGAGTTGATGGATTTAGTAAAAGAATGCACAGAGGTAACGTAAATTTGTGGTCACCGGTGCTTTGAAATCCGAAAAAAGCACATTAAAATCGGTTTCGGATTTCGATATTTATCGTTGGGGAGGGAGAAGTTGAAAAGACGGCTCAAGCATATAGCGTGACACTGCTTCTCGTCCGGTTACCGGTACATTTTCGGGTATTGGGTTATACAGCCAGTTATTTCTTCTAGATTCATGGACTTGAATGTTGAGGAAGCCGTTACCGACCAGAGATGGTTACGTGAAATACCCTACGGCGGCGAGGAGTCCAGCAATTCCCTCGCGGATAATTGTCTCACACGGGAATCGAACGGGGCCTGATATTCACCCGAATTCTGCATGTTTCCATATTTCACCTTTCATATATATATATTTGAACATTGCTACCTTGTTCTCAGGTTCACAATCCGCTCCTTCGGCCCGAATTTGACGAAATTGTCGACTCGCTTGAAGACATCGAATCTTCTCACGACACGGCAGATTATGACGTCATTGAAGAAATTTTATCGAGCATCGAGGAAGATATGGTGACACCACAATGCATATGCAAGAACCAATCGGTTGTCTCGCACAAGGACACACCCATTTTACCTCAAAGGCATTCCGGGCTCAGCGACGACTCGGGGTTCGGCGAATCCGACGAGGGTAGTAGAAAATTGAAAATTTGTTTAGATTGTCAAGAAGACGATACCAATAATAACACTGTGGGACAAAATACGCAAGAATTTTTACACTCCCCACCCCCCAAGAAAAACACTAGCTTGTCTAGAAAGAAAGTCAGTTTTAAATTCGTTTCCTCGATTTTGACTGGTCGACGAAGATTTAGAGATGACGTCATACACGAGGATATTGCCCCGTCGAAAGATATGTCGTTAAGGCGGAGTGCCAGCCTACCGGAACTAAAGACGGAAGTAACAAAACCCAGGTCAAGAGCTCATACTATGAGTACTAAGCTTTCGAGACCAAAAAGTATGTTTTGTAACAAAAAAGACGATTTTTCTTGAATTTTTTACGTGTTTTCGGATTTTCTATCAGAACGAAGCTTTCAACCAGAGGTTTACAACCAGGGTGTTCCACCATTACGGGCCGAAGGTTAAGCAAATTTACGATCAAATCCGGAGTCTACATTATCATATGCATACCTGTATTGATTAAATATAATTGGTGCTCCCGTAGTATGTCACCAAAATGGCGCACAACCTTAACATAGTATGTGTACCAGGTTAGTGTTATCAGGTTGTGCGCCATCATGGTACACATACTACGGGAGCGCCATATAATCTAATGCCTATTAGATTCGCGCTATTATTAAAGTGCTATCATTTTATTTTACCATTATTCGGTTTACTTTTATATATATATTTATAGGTTAAACAAGCCAAAAAATGGAAGAATAATAATTTGGCAACCGGGTTTGCCTAGGTTTTCCTCGTATGGCGAACCAAGGCCTCTCGTCGGTTACCAGTCCATGTCGGATATGAGATTAGTCAGTCATTTGTTTCGACCCGTATTATATTATGTAAATTATAAAGACCATTTTGTTTTGCCATTGAGGTGAGGTTTGCCCTCATATATATTTATAAATAATACAATTCTTCTGTCTGTAAAACAAAGCCCAAAAGAGTTTGCTCAAGTTTCTCAATATTTTTTATGAGAATAAACGAATTTATTTGCAGTTTGTGTTTTCATTTTATAAAAAATCGGAATAGGAGTATTTTTGTTTTTGATGTTTTTTGCATAACACAATTAAACTTGCGCGGAAGTTTCTCGATCCTGAGGAATGTTTCATTGGGATAGTCGTTAAGATTTACATATTTATCCCGGGAAGAGGAAAGCCGATAAGACGGTTTAACCATATAGCGAACCACGGCCTCTCATCATGTTACCATTCCATGACGACTATGGGATTAGTTAGTTATTTTTTTCCGGAAGCATGGACTTGATGGTAGAGGAAGCCGTAACCGACCAGCGGTTACGTGAACCACCCAACGGCGACAATGAGTCCAGCAATCCTCTCGTTCCTACCCTCATACGGCTCGTGGCACCTTTCAGCACTCATGGCTCCTGTGTATCATTCCAATGGTATTTATAGTGTTATTTTGATTGGCAGATTCCAAATCCCATTATGTTCAAACAATTCATGCCGCGTGTGAAATAATCGCATCAACTAATGAAACCAGGAAGAACAAGGTTCCTCCTTAAGTTAAATGTAAAATTGTGCACTTAGCATTGTGGCCCCCTTGTCGGGCCACGGGATCCGTTTTGGGAACTTCCGCATCAGGGGTTTCGCTCCACCAAAAGGGGGTTACTAGGGGGCGAGTAGTTTATTCTTTATTGTCCCGCGACAGAGAAAAGGATATCTCACAATATGTGTTGAAGCAAATTAATCGAAAGACTGGTCGTCTTTCTATTTCGGTTTAGAATACAGGGTGAGGTAACTGAAAGCGTAATCTTGAATGCGGATACAGGTAAGTCTGGTACTTCAACCGCTACGCCAACGTTTCCCAACCGCGAAGAAATTTCTCCCTTGGGGGGATGTTTTCGTTCTTGAATGTAGATTTTGCTTTATATTTTCTTTACCATTACTAATATTCTTTAGTTCTTTATTATTACCATAATACTTATTTATGCACACATTATTACCGGATCTTCAGATGTATGTACACCAAGATGGCGCACAACCTGAACATAGTAGTTGTTCCATCTTAGAGTTCAGGTTGTGCGCCATCTTGGTGCACATATTTCGGGAGCGCCTTATTACCTACTTAAACTGTACAAAAGCGGGAGTGCGCTTAACACTAGATAAGGATCCGTTCAAGATTGAACAAATAAAGTAGTTTTTATGCAAAGTAGGGGAGGAATAAAGAATTCCAAAACAGGCGAAGGCATGAACTTAACAAAAAAGGTGGCGAGCCTTTGCACTGGGCCATCGCTGCCACTTCGATAGTTATTCGACATTTACGAAGCCTCATCTTAATTCGTTAATAGTTAGGATAGGATTTATATATTTATCCCGGGGTAAAGGAAAGACGGCTTAATCATACGGCGAACCACGACCTCTCGTCCAGTTCATCCATTTCTAATGAATACTGTCATTAAATTCTGAATCTGATTTTAAATTTTCATGCGTGCGAACTGTCTCAACTGACTGATAAAATGATAACAAACTCACAAATGATCGAATCAATATTTATTATCATGTTTGGTTATATACAGAAATCACATGGAGACAGCTATGAATTTTATTTTCTAATCAAAAAGTTTCAATAGACAATGCGACCAATTCAAGGCATGGGTTATAAGGTTTATAATACCAAGCGAGCTATCCTAAATATATGGACACGTTTACCGATTCCAAGAAAAGCACCAACATTTAAAGACATCAGTTATAACAGTGACTGTAAGCCCCGCTTTTATGAAGACAGTTACGAGACAATACGATCTCACAGAGCTAACAGAAATATTTGAAATAAATAAAAGTAATAACCTTCTGGAGAAAAATTTCATCTTTAACCACTGAAAATTTCGAAGCAATTGGTCCAGTATTCGAAGAAAAAAGCGATTTTATCATGAAGAAGAAGAAGCATATGAACAAGAACAACAACATAACATTGAAACGACCGGTATGTACACTGGGGTGTCCAATAAAGGAGTAATATAAGTGATAAAAAGTGAGACCTCTTTGTCGTTTATATCATTCAGTCCGTCAACGAATTTCTGTCAGGTTTTGAGCTGGTTTTATATTTCACAGATGACACCGTTACTTTTGCGAGATGGTGGACGATTGTTCATTTCCTCTTCCATCGCTGGGTCGCTATAGGCCTGAACAACAACGCGTGTCTACGATAAATATCGTACCGGATGCCACTTTTCAGTTGCTATAGTGATTGGTTCTCCACTTGACAATAAAAGCTGATTGTTCTGTAACAATAACAAATAGAAAAACGGTTTCAAAATCTGTTGTTTGAATTGAAATATTAGATGACGGATTATTATATTTGCCTCTAGCAATATTTCTCACAGTAAAGGGACGGAGTATGGCAGGTACTGAATGATACATGTTACCAGTACATGAAAATAAATTAAACATGAAACATAACGATAATAAATGAAAGCCAGAAATCACGAGACATCACGAATTCTAAAATACATGGAAATTAGAAAAATATTCTGCTACATGTCTATGACGTATCAATATATTGGGAATCGCAATCAAAATCTAAATTTGGCATATTTCTAATTATCCAAGCTCTTGATAAATCTTTAAAAAACATATTTTACCCAATTTTGACCCGGGTTTATTTACAAAAATGAGTCAAACTTTGCTGATATTTCACATTATGACAACTTACCTTATACTCCATCCCAGTCCAGATTTGAATATGTCGCCCACCAGCAGAGATCAGCGACCGTAGATAGCGGGCCAACAGCTGGAAATGCGTGAGGTCGTAAATGTTCGCGGGTTTTCCGTTGTTCATTGATTTGCAGATTGGTTTACCGTCATTGAAAGTGACATTCCGTGTACTATACACAACTATTCGGAAGCATTTTGACTTATATGTGATGTCACATTTTACTGAAAGCAACATTATTGTTGTCATTAAATCTTTTATATTAAAATTTCAGAATATGTTAACGATCTGGGATTAAGATTTTGTCGCTTTGCTTATTCAATGAGACTTTCTTTCAAAATAGAAATCTTAGTAATACTGTAGTCTATTAATTTCGGAAAGAGTAAAAGTCGATACGACGAAAAATAGATATGAAAACGACGGGACAAATTTGTTTCAGATGTCATAATAGCTATCAAGTTTAGATACATGGTTGGTGGGAGAAGTCGTAACCGACTAGGGGTTGTGTTAAAAACCCGGTGATAAATCAGGGTCCAATACTTGAAATCTTAAGTAAATTAAATACTTATACTATGACGGGTGTGGCATATTTTATAGTTAAATTATCAGATCACAAAAATGAAATTACTTTCAGCTTTTTTCTTTTCATCAAGACTCTTTTTAATCAGTCTGGCGATTTCTGTAATTAATTGATATATTCGAGTTTCGTGTACGGCGAAGTGTTTTAAATCAGTTTTCATCATATTATATGGTCTGCAGTTTTTTATTCACTGACGACCGTAAGTAACTTTGTCTATCATAATAGTTATACCTTAGTTTGAGGATTCAAATAATAATAATAATACAAACATTTCATTTTACTTGATCTTTAATAAATTATATTTATTCTCATGTATAGCAAATTAACAACCTATATAATTCGTTTATCCCCTATTTATTTTGTCCAGAGCTACTTTATCCAAAATGGAGATGAAGAAATAGCTCACGAAAAACAGTACTGTGATTAGCTTACGCAATAGGAGAATTATTTCAGACCATTGCTTAATTATGAATCAAAAGTCTCTCACTCGTTTACGGTGACGGAAGTATTTTTCAAACCCAATATATATCATGAAGTAGGACGAACTCACCGGATCCATCGACTTTCTGTGAAATAAATAGAAAACGCAGATGAATAGTAATGTTATTATAACACGTTGTTTTAGATTATATTAGCGTCGGGCCATGCAAAAGTCGGATACGCCAATCTCAACGATTTGGGGTTTAAATATTGAGAAAAAATTATAACTCTTTGAACTGATGGCCCGGTGCATTGAGCGTCGAATCTAACAGCTTGTTCAAAGCATTTAAGACTCAAAGACAGTTATAGAAAAGCAAGATGAAAATTTCAGGTCCAAATATCTACGTCCAGTACATGATGTCAAATTGGGCAGGCGATGCGTGGAACAAAGATTTAAGACCTCTAGAAAATAGTAATTTTATATATAGCTGTCAAGTCAAAGCCTTTCTTGGCGACAAAGTGTGTAAACACCGGATAAGAAATGGAAACTCAATTTTACCTTGCAATCTCCAACTTGAACGAGTTTCCCATTCACGATCTTGGAAACGCAGGCTCCAGCTGTCAAAAGAATAGGAAATTGAATATAACGACATTTTGTGTCTAGAATTATAGGCGTCGTGACTGGTTTAGAGAGATATCTTCCTCACATAATCAAAGAATCTGTTATATTTTAGAATCCTTGGTACCAGAAGCCAGGGGTGGGTGCACAAATTATCATGTATTTGTATCTGAAACAGATCTTACCCGGTATTTTTAGCTTTGCACGCAAGCCACAGATGAGAGAGATGAACAAAATAATTTTGACTAAGTCCATGTTCGCTTCTAGAAAGGTTTAATGACGCAACTAAAAACTTAGCTACAAAGTAGATATCTGTGAAAATATTTAAGGTTACTGTAGATTTAATACCGGCATAATTAGCTCTTCTTAATTGGCATTTTCAAAGTAAGTCGTGAGAAAAAATGCAGTAATAATAAAACTAGAATATTGGTTAGAAACCGAAGACTTATCGATCGAAGGTTAGGGGATTCCCAAAACAGTGGTCTTACTCCATAGTGACACCGTGTGTCCCATTACTAATCAATTAATAACTCGCTAATTATAAGACATAATCCATCCAAAATCAATGGGCTTCTGATCCGAGCTATGATGAATGCACATGCAAAATTTGGAGCAGATTCAATCTCGCTTTCGTGAGATATCGCGTGTATCTAACAGACAAACAAACAAACAAACAAACAAGCAAACAAACAAACAGACAAATA